GGGGGGGGGGGGGGGGGGGGGGGGGTGCTCGGACGTGGGAGAGACTCCACCTCGCTGAGATGGGATCTGTTCTATCTAATTAACTGCTACAGAAATATTTATCCAGGCTGCGGCTCGTCCAGCTCTCATGATGTGTTTATGTGCTCTGGATGTGAGCACAGACCGGGGGTCGATGTGGGAGGGGGCGGGGGGGCGGTTGACTGGTGCTCCCGGCTGAGGGAGTGCCAGGGGAGTTGACCTGCGTGTATCTGGTTTCCAAGTATTTGTGGTAGTTGTGGGCAGGATTCAGGATTGAGGCTTGTATATCTACACGAGTGCCCGGATCAAGTTCGGAGAGGTGCTGGATGCATAACTCTGCACCCACCCAGAAATGACGCCCCCCCCCCCCACCACCACCCGCTGCATGGGGCGGTGTACAGTCCTACTTAAGGGCTCCGCATGAAATAGGAGCAGGTGTATCCCCTGGAGGGAGGGGTTTGGAGGTAAGGGGGCATTGCAGACAAGACAGCTGGGCTCTCAGCACGTACAGGGTGACAGCTCACACAGGTGCAGTGCATTGTGGGAGTGTGAGAAAAGGGTGAGGCAACAGGGCACCTGTTGTTGAGCTGTTTGTCAACACAAAGCAGCGTTCCTCCTTTTCAGTGTTCACACTTTCCCCTCGGTCTCATTAAATCACACAGAACGAGACTTTGACAAATGCAGATACGGATAAAACGCAAGCGTATTTAAAATGATAGAAAACAAATAAAAATAAAATAAAAGTGCGTGGAGGGTTAAAGTTAGATCCAGCAGCTCGTAGAAACTCCTTTAGCGGCGGAAACTCTCAGTGGTCTGTTTGTCTCTCGTGGTTGTAGAGGAGTTCTGGCCCACTCTTCTTTCCAGCATCATCTCATTGAGGTTTCTGTTCAGCTCCCTGAAGACCAGGTTGAGGTTCTGGTTAGGCCTGTCACAATAACAAATTTTGCTGGCTGAATAACTGTCTCAGAAATTATTGCGATAAACGATAATATTTTTTGAAATTTGACAATAATTTATAATTATTGTCAAATTTAAGAAGAAATGTTGGTTCATTTGTTTTGAGTGTAGTACCTTTTTTTTTGACCACCGGATGGCAGTATAAGACTGTTTAAACCCAAGGATGGATAGTGAGGGAGCAAGCAGCGTGTCTCTTTAAGAAAAATGGGAGGGAGGCCCCTTGACGTGACATGGGCTGTCTCCCTTTCCTTTTTTTTGGTTCTCAAAATGGCGGACGCTCGGTGTGGTTTAAGCTCTTTAGCATTTTTCACACAAAGCTTTTAATAAAAAAATCAGTAAACAAGTTCTCAGCTTCTTTTTGCAGAGAAAAACAACTTTTTACACGAAGGCACGGGTTTCAACCGTGAATTTTTGAGCTTCGACAAGACGGAGGTTTTTCCCCCCCGAGGTCGGCCTGTTAGCTTAGCTCGTAGCTTAGCTTCTCAGCTTAGCTGTTTTTAATGATCCAAAAACGTGATTTTGGATCGTTAAAACAGATTTTAAAGAGAAAAGAGAAAGGGGCGGGGTCAGTGAAGAGCCGGAGTTGATCTTTTTGTCATCCAGTGTCTTCAGTAGAAAGAGAGAGACACGAAGAAACGATAAAGCCGATAAATAAAAATGAGGTTGACGATTTTCATTTATCATGCGATTAATTGATTTATTGTTTATCACGACAGGCCTAGTTCTGGTCCCTGACTGGACCGCTGAGGCACCTCAAGTCTTTTCTTTCTGACCTGTTCTGCTGTAGACCAGCTGCTGTGCTTGGGATCATTGTTCTCTTGGACCCAGTTTGGTCCACGCTTCAGCTGTTGGACTCACATTTGACTTCAGAACCCTTTGGTCCACAGAGGAGCTCCAGGTTCACTCAGTGACAGGGGCCCAAACCATCAGCCCTCTACCGCCATGCTTTAATGCATAAATGAAATGTTTGTGCTGATATTCGGCAGTGCATTATGGGTAAACTTGTCTACTTTGGTTCTGCTTTGTTGTGGAAGTCTAGTGGTTCCTTCAGATTAAACTTTCCAAACCTAACCATAGTCTTTTCCTAATTCGTCCTGCTGTGACCTTTGATCTTTGACCTGCTAACTGAGGTCTGCGGAGTCTGAGATGAAGCCTGACCTTCTGGTCTGACCTTCGGGGTACATATGCTGGGAAGACTGGCAGCCGTCTTAAAATGTTTCCCACTTGTGAATAATTCTTTCTGTAGAACGATGGGCTCTAAATGACCTTTGACCCTTCCCAGATTGATGGGCAGCAGTTGTAGTTCAGAAGTCACTGTTGATGTCTTTCCGCCTTGGCGTTGTGTTAACCCACGGCTGCGTGCGTCCTGTTTGGCGTTATATTAGGAAATGAATTAACAGAGTAGAGTCAGGTCAGCGTTATGAATCAACAATGACCTTCAAACTGGAAGAAAACATGAAACTGGTGATAAAACGGTAAACGTGGCTCTAATCGTATCTGAAACTGTTCCACACAGGTGCGTCTGAGAGACTTTCAGGGATGAAGGCTGTTTGTGATCAGACAGGTGACTAAAAAAACGAAACGGTTTAAATGAGCCATCAGCTCATCATCCCTCCGTCCTGTCCATGGAAACAGGAGCTGTGCCAGGAGCCTAAATACGATCCACGAGGACTGCGCCCCAATCCTGCGTCACCCTATACCTTCAGAGCACACCAAAGCCTGGCCTTTGCCATGAAAACCCATAAAACACGAACTTGTCTACCATCTAGGCCACGAGGGGTGGGTGTATACGTTACCTTCTCTTTGGCAATCTTATGGGAGAACGGGCAGGCGCCATCTGCCTGCTTGCACGTCCCTCTGAGAAACCTACAAAAACAAACGGATAAAAAGGTAAAAGCTGAGGTGGTGGAGCGGCTGCTTCTCTGACACTGGAGAATAAATTACCTTTCTGTTCATCGACAAAGAAACAGACAAACCTTCAAGACTTTAATAAAACGTTTCATCAACTTGGCTTCTGCTCCTAATGTCACCAAACTGTGGGCTTGTGTGTATTTTAACCCCCGGACCATGTCCTTCTACCTGCACAGGATCTCTGTAGTTAGGAGCATCTCAAAACGATCCATGGATTTATCACATGGCTGGACCATGTGGACGTCTAAAAACGTACAAAGAGCACTTCTCAGATAGCTTCTTTAATTATTCTCATTTTGTAATAAACTGGCTCCGACTTGTAGTCCAGTTGAGTTGAATCTGACCGTTTGTGCTTTAACTGGAGACGTCTTGTGTTGAGAACTGTTCAAATTAAACTAATTGAAATGAAATGCGTATATTATGTGCAGAAACTGGTTCCGTCAGAAACTGAACCGGAATCGCTCAGGCTGAATCTGTGTTCGCGCAATTTGAAATTAAGTCCATCGGTTGGAAAATGAATTTCGCTAAATTGAAACTGAATTTAAAGGTTTGAAACTGTATTTTGTTGAATTGAAAACTCAGTTTGACTACTTTAATTTTGAGTTCTATAATTCAGTTTCTATTCCAAAATTCGTTTTTTTGTGTCACACGTCCAGGTCCTTGAGAAGCCACGGAGTGATCGAACGCAGATCGACAGATTCACGTTTCACGTCAGCGAACCTTCCTTTGTGGAAATGTCGGCGTGGGGTTCAGTCTGAAGCAGGCGGTGATGCAACAGACTGGATACAATCCACCGTAAAACACCAAAGAAGGAAAAGAACTTCCTTTACGGCATATTTGGAGCTGGAGCAGTGGCGTGCACATGAACTTGGCATGAACTCATGTGCACGCCACTCTTCCAGCTCAAAAGACGAAATAAGATAAGATAGAACTTTAATGATCGCGCAGGAAATTGTTAAAGGAAGTTGTAAAGGAAGTGAGGATAGGATTAGGGGCGGCTGTGGCTGAGTGGTTAGAGCAGTCGTTCTCCAATGCAAGAGCTGGGGGTTCGATTCCACCAGCAGTCACATGCTGAAGTGTCCCTGGGCAAGACACTGAACCCCTCATTTCCTCCGATGTGTCCCATCGGTGTATGACTGTGATAAAGCTCTGATTATTCTTTATATAGATCTAGTATAGAGCTGTATGAATGGGTAAATGAGGCACAGATTGTTGTAAAGAGCTTAGAGTGTCTCGATAAGATAGAAAAGCTCTACATAAGTACAGTCCATTTACCATTTACAATTTTAGACAGATCCAAAAACAAAGTTATACGTCTGCTTTTTGGAGTCTTTAAGCTTCAGTCAAGTTCTGGAAACAACAACTGAACAACTTACGGTAAATTAAATTGTAAACGTGCGCAGCAGTATGGCAGCACTGATGAGAGCTCTGCTTTAACTCGCCCGCCTTTTGTGTTCTTGTTGTTTTTGTTTGGAATTTTTTGCGCCTCCACTGTACACCCACGCAACAGGTATGACCGAGACGCACTTTTGGAGTTTTGTGTGTCGCTGCCTTGCCATCGTGGTTCAGTTCCCATCCCCCTTCCCTCCTCAGGCTCAGTCTCCAGCCTGTCATGGCGGCCATCTCCATGACCCTCCATCTGCCTGAACGGACTGAATTCTAGGGAACAGTTCGGTTCCACGGGTAAGTTTGGATGTTCCGTGTCTGTCTCACACGGTTCTGGAGGGCAGTCATTGTCCATTGCTGCGGTCATTATCATTATGCTGCTAACGGGACTATGCTGCTAACAGAACCACTCTGCTAACAGAACCACTCTGCTAACAGAACCATGCTGCTAACAGAACCACTCTGCTAACAGGACCATGCTGCTAACAGAACCATGCTGCTAACAGAACCACTCTGCTAACAGAACCATGCTGCTAACAGAACCATGCTGCTAACATAACCATGCTGCTAACAGAACCATGCTGCTAACAGAACCATGCTGCTAACAGAACCACTCTGCTAACAGGACCATGCTGCTAACAGAACCACTCTGCTAACAGAACCATGCTGCTAA